ACCCTGAGCAGCTAGGGGACTCTCCCACAGTGACTGATAAAGGAACAGATGCAGGCTCCCCAACCTCGCCAGCCTAGCAGCCCCTTTGGGTACCCAGAAATGATGATGCAGGTTTCCTACCTTTGATGGATGGTATTGGTTCTAAATCCAAACTTGGGCTCTTCCTGCTTCCCCCCCTTTCCTCAAGCCCTCCCTCCTTTCTCAGATCCCCTCTCTCTCCCCTCCCTCAGCCCTTTCTCCTTAACCTCGTGACTCCCTCCCTTTTCTTCCCCTCTTCCCTTCACCCTTCGGGCCCCTCTTCAAACTCTCTTCTCCCTCCATCTCCCCCACCCCTTCGCCCCCCACCCCATTCCTCTCCCTTTCACTTCTTTCTGGCAGAAGCAGGACTGTTTTTCTGAGAGGTCTGTATACTGGAAAGTTCTGTGTGGATATTTCCATTCTCTCCATTGGTCTCCTCCTCCAGCCCTGGGGAGGCCTGGTGGTGGTTGGGGGGGAGAGCCTGATGGGGGATCTTCCCTCATCCACTCCACACCCTCCTTACCACCTGACTGCCCCCCAGGTTCCAGTGAGCCTCTGCACCTCGAACTGAGCTATCGGGGACGGGGGAAGGAAGGATGATGTCCCTTGGAAGAGGGACCTCAGATTGATGGGTGAGGAGCTGGACCGGCCCTGCCCAGCTAAGCCTTAGTATCCCCTAAGTGCAAAATGGACCCTTAGCTCCCACCTTTCAAGGGAACACTCTAAATGTGGAGGGGTGCTGTTGGAGTCATGAGAGATGCCTTGTCTCCCGTTCCCCAGCCCCCAAAACCTCTCCCTGCTTGGCGCACCCCCAGCCAGGAGGCCACCTGGGCTCAGACTCAGGGAACAGACGGCCCCTGTTCAGAGCCCACTCAGGCCCGGGGCACGGAAAATCGGGGCGGGGGTTGGGGGCGCCACTCAATGGATCTTTCTTCTTGGCCATCCCCCTCCCCATTCCCCCACAGGCCCTGTGTAAACAGGGGAGCTGGGCGGAGGCCAGGGCCTCCTTCCCAGCACCGCCCCCCCCACTTCCCCCTGCCTCTGGACACTGTGGCCAAGGGCGTTCGTGGCTCTGGGGGTGGGGGGAGGGAGGGGGGGTGGCCGCGGCTTCTGAGACGTCGCCCAGTCTGTGACTGTTTCCAGAGGAAGTTTCCGTCGGGTCTGGAGCCCAGCGCAGTGTCTGGGGAGGCGGGGGCTGGGAGAGTGTGGTCAACCCTCCCCCCTTTCCCCCCTGCCCCTCCCCTGCCCGCACCCCAGCCTCATCCCACCCCGGTCTCCCTTCCCTGTCCTTCCTGGCCCATCTAGGCTGCCTAAACCTGACTGCAGCTGGTCTTGTGTCCAAGGTCTAGGCCAAGGCCAAGGGGAAGGGCTGCTAATAGGGGGAGTGGGAACAGAGGACCTGGGCCCTGTGGGGAAGGGGCGAGGGTGGGAGGAGGAGGAGAAGAGGAAGGTGGGCCCAAGAGAGGCCCAGTGGGGTACAATTGAAAGAGAACTTGGAACATGAATTGTCTGAGCTACAAAGGAATTGTTACTAGAGCAGAAAGCAGGCTGTCAGCGATGGGAGGGCCCTTAAGAACGGGGAATGCCAGAGCTAGAGGGAGTTTGGAACAGGGAATGCCAGAGCTGGAGGGGGCTTGGAACAGGGAATGTCAGAGCCGGAGGGGGCCTTGTAGATCATCTCCAACATTTCCATTTCAGAGAGGGTTCTGAGGCTAGAAAGGGTCAGTGAGAGTGCCCTAGGAGTTAGTGTCAGAGCTGGGCTTAGAATCCAGACGTCCTGGCTCTTTCCCCAGGCCTCTTTCCCCATGCACTTGACTGTTTTAGAGGCTTCCACATTCTCTGCCCTTTCCTCCTCCCAACAATGGGGTGTCCTTGAACCCAGAGTCTCAGGGAATTTCTAGTCCCTCTAGGTAGGAATAGGGAAATTGCAGCCTCAAGGCCACATGTGGCCCTCTAGGTCCTCAAGTGCGGCCCTTTAACTGAATCCAAACCGCACAGAACAAATCCCCTGAATAAAAGGATTTGTTCGGTAAAATTTGGACTCGGTCAAAAGGCGGCACCCAAGGACCTATAAGACCATGTGTGGCCTTGAGGCTGTGGGTTCCCTGCTCGTGCTCCAGGGGATAGAAACTCCAGTAGAATTAGCATCCATTTGCAGTTGGGTGTTGGGGAGAGGGTGTCTCCAGGCCTAGGGGTCCTCTTCCATCACCCAGGAGCCATCAAGCTGCGGTTTGGTCCGAGGCTGCCCCTCCCCCATTGCTGCTCCCCCTCCTCCCTCCCTCACGTACTGGGGGTCATGGGGTACAAGGCAAAGAAGGCTGCAGCATCTGGAATCAGGAAGGCCTAAGTTTGAACCCTAGCTCAGTAGCCCTTCTCTGTTCGGGGCCTCAGTTTCTGCCTCTGTAAAATAAGGGGCATGGACAAGATGGTCTCTGAGGTCTCTTCCAGCTCTGTGAGGGTCTCCCTAGGTCCCAGAGAAAAGCCCCTGCCTTTACACACAGGTATGCACACACGTGCACATATATACACACAATGCACACACTCGCATACATACATACTTATACACAGACATTCAAACGCACACGCACATGCACACGTGCATGCACACATACACATGTATTCACACAATGCACACACTCGCCTACATACACACTGTGCACACACTTATACACATTCATATGTACACGCACACACACATACACATGCACGCACACACATGTATACACATAATGCACACACTCACCTACATACACACGTGTACACACATACAAGACATACGCAATGCACCTGCACACACATGTATGCACACATTTGCATACATGCACACACGTGCACACCGATACACGCTCACACATGCATACACACATATACTCATTCACATGCGGGTGCGCGCGCACACGCGCGCGCACACACACACACACACACACAACACACACACACACACACATTCCATTTCCAGGGCTGTCTCCAGAACAAGTGAGACCAGAAGGAGGTTGGCCCATCTGTGGTCCTATGCCACCCCCTGGTGGCAGAAGGCAGTATTGCCACAGCATGGCCCGAATTAGCCCCCTGGGGGAAAAAAAGCCTCTGCCTCTGGCCCTGCGAAGGATGGGGGCCACCCAGGAATCAGCACCACAACTGCTACCCACGGGGCCTGACTCCCAGCCCAGGTCTCTTTCCTTAAAAGGACTTAGAAGCTCTGGGTTCAAATCCAGGCTCTCGTGGGTGTCACAGAACCTCCCTCACTGGATCTCACGCCAGAAACGGTTTTAGCCGTGCTCTGGTCCTCCTCTCATTTTATAGCTGGGGAAACTGAGGCCAAGACAAAGGAAACGACCTGCTCGAGGTCACATAGGTGATGTAATCAGTCATAGAACTGGAATTCAAACTCAAGTCTTCTTGGGTCCAAATGAAATGCTTAGAATGGCTCTGAATCCCAGAGTCCTGAATTCTACTTCTGTCCTTCCCACGACCTCTATGACCATAGGCAAGCCTCTTTTCCTCTAGCAAAGTTTTCGTCTTTCTGAAATGACAGAGATGGAGGAGATGGTCCCTTCTTATCTCCTGCCCATTCTGTAGTAGACAATTTTAATAATAATAATAATAATAATAATAATAATAACAGTAGCTAGTAATTATACTTTAAGGTTTGCAAAGTGCTTACGTGTGTTAACTTATTTAATCCTCACAACAGTCTTGGGAGGTAGATTATCCCCATAGTGTTATACCCATTTTACAGATGAGGAAACTGAGGTAAGCGACAGCTGGTTAGTGTTTGAGGCTGGATTTGAATCCAAACCTTGTTTCCCCAGCATCACTACCTCCTGGTATTTCACCTTCCTACTTTGACCAGCTCCTCATGCCTCAGTTTCCTCTTCTGAAAAAAGCAGAGATTGAGCTAGGTGACCTGTAAATCCCCTCTGAATGGCTTACTGAGACCAGACCCCCTCTTCCAGCTTCTAGCTTGGGCTGGACTTCTCCCTCCTTGAGGCCCTGATGTGGCCAGAGCTAGGGAGTGGCGCCATTTTACTCTTCATCCCCTTGGTCCCCTGAACTTCTCGGTCACTTAGTTCCTTCCCTGTGGGTCCTTCCCTGGCAGAGGTTAGCGAGTGGACAGGGCTAGCCCATAGAGCAGGAGAGGGGGAGAAGGGGCCTGCCTCTGTTTCCCCGCCATGACATACCCCAAGTAGGTGGTGGGATCTCAGCTCTGGGCTGCCCAAGATCCTTGCTAACTGGGGCGCCCTACCTCACCCCACCCCAGAACAGATTGGAGTGCTCGGCGCATTAAGATTCAAGGCTGGTCATGTCGATTGAGCTGGGCTGGATTTGGAATCAGGAGAGAATTAACTTCCAATCCCAGCTCCAACATTTCCTAGCTGTGTGACCTTGGGAAAGTCAGTTAACCTCTCTGAGCCTCAGCTTTCTCATCTGGTGAGTGGGTTTGTCAACATGTACCTCATGGCTGCTTGGAAATCACTTTATGAGCTGGGAAGCCCTTGTCAGAATAGTGGCCACTTGGCTCCTCCTTTTCAGGGAAGAAAACCGGGGCCAGGAAGGAGGGCAGCCTCTGGCCCCAGTGACGTGGGCAGCAAAGAGCTGGCCTTCACGGTCGGCTCCCCTCCTGCCGAGTCCAGCGCCCTTTCTGCAAGACTGTGCCCCCTTCTCCCCTGTACTCCCTGCTTCCCCAGGGACGACCAGTCCCCCCTGCTTGCTCTCCCTCCTGAGTTAGTCAGACAGAACCTCAGAACACTAACTTTCAGACCTGGAAGGCACCGCAGGCATTCTTCAGCCCAGTTCCCTTATTTTACAGAGCAAACTGATACCCAGAGAAGGGAAGGGGCTCCCCCAAGGTCACACAGCATTCATTAGTGTCAGGGACAGGAGCAGACACCAGGTCCTCGGGCTACTGGAGGCCGGCCCTTTCCGCTACCCATCCCCTCGACCCCCCAACCGAGGGACCCCCAAGCCCCATCCCCCAGCACCTGGTGACCTGGCTCCAGCTCTGGCTCCTGGTGTATCAGGTGGACTCCTGTCAGCTCCTGCCCCGGGCATCCCTCTCTGGTCTCCATGTCTTGTGGCCTCCCCCTGTGCCTGCCCGGGGAGAAGAAGGCCTGGGATGTTTTCAGTCTTTCAGGGGGACTCGGTCCTCATCCCTTCTTCCTAGGTTGCTGGGGTAACATGGTTTCCTAGCAACCCCTAGTGGTGGGAGGCAATGGGGAGGGGAGCAGCTGGGCTAGGATCATTAATAGAGGATGTGGGCAGGATGGGAAGAGGAGCCACAGAGCTGAGTGCCCAGGAGGGGGGCAGCAAGGCGGGTAGGCAGGACAGAACCTGGACCCTTCCCCTGGGGGTCCTGTCTTACTGACCTCTGGGGCAGCTGGACACTGAGCCCTCCTGAGCAAGAGGGAGAGGCCCCAGGAGCCAATTACACAGCCTTTCCTGAGGCTGGAATGCTGGTCAGGCAGCCTGATGTGCAGGGAGCCCAAAGTGGGGCCCAAACCTGGCGCCGCAGGAGAGGATCCCATCCTACCCCCCCAGAGCTGAGCTTTTCCCCTGTCCACCCCCAGGAAAGCATCGAGAGAGACCCTAGAACACTAAGTGTTAGCCCTGAAGTGACCTTAGACATTAGAATCTGGAATGTCAGCTGGGAGGGGCCTTAGAACAGGGGATGTCAGGGCTGGGAGGGGCTTTATAACATGGAATTTCAAAGCCAAGAATGACCATATTCTCTCTGCCCTCGAGGAGCTCCCAATCTTGAACTGAGCAGAGAACAAGAGCCCCCCCATACCAGAAGAGAAGTGTTGGGGAAGGTGTGGGATGGCCTTTGATGTCTACAAGGGCTCAGAGAAAAGGGAGAAGTCCCTGCAGGACAGTAATCATGACGAAGGCTCAGCTTGAGCCAGATCTTAAAGGATGGGGAGGAAGTGGAGAGGCATAGAGTCAACCAGCATTTATTAAGTGCCTGTTGTATGCTGGCGCTGTGCTAAGTGCCAGGCATGTGAAGAAAGGGAAGATGGGCCCTGCCCCTGGGAGCTCCCAGGCCGATGAGGAAGACAGCGTGTAAATGGCTGTGCCCCCAGGTCCCAGACAGGGCATACGGACTCGATCTGCAGGGGGAGGCCCTGGGATCACCAGAGATCAGGATAAGCTTTCCGTAAAAGGTGGACTTTGAAGGAAGCTGGGAGGCCCAGATGAGGAGGGGGTCATGTTTTAGGCCCGGGACACAGCCAGAGACGTCTGGAGCCGGGAGATGAGGAGCAACCAGGAGGCCGTGTCCCTGGACAGAGGAGGATGGACATGCAGGGGGCCGGAGGGGTGAGAAGGGGAGGTGGAGTTTCCAGGGCCAGACAGGATGTCATGTTTAGTGCCAGTGCAGTTTACTGAGTAGGGAGAGGGCCGTGGGTGGGAGGGGGGGTGACTGGAGGCAGGCAGACCCCCCGGCAGCCACTGCCATGTCCAGGCGTGATACGATGCGCCTTCAGCACAGGAAAGGAGGGGGTGTCGTCACAAAGTGCTGCACGGGGAAAATTGACAGACCTGGCAACAGCTTGAACGTGGGGGGTGAGAATGAGGAGCCCAGGATGGTGCCAGGATGGGAGAGGAGGGATGGGAGGAGGCGGCACCTGGACGATAATGGAAAAGTTCGGGGGGGGCGGGGGGGTGTTTGGGGGAAAGACATCGAGTCCAGTTCTGGTTGTGTTGAATTTAAGGCATCTACTGGAGATGTCCAATAGGTAGCTGGAAAATGGGTCTGGAGGTTGAGAGAGAGGTTAGGGCCGCATCCAAGACTCACAGCAGAGAGATATTGATCGAATCTGTGGGAGCTGATGAGATCACTGAGCAAAATGGCGTTAAGGGAGAAAGAGGGCCAGAGCTTTGAGGCATAGCGTGACTTGGAGACAGAGAAGGAGAGGTCAGAGCAGTAGGAGGAGAGCAGAGGGGGAGAGGGGGAGAGAGAGAGAGAGAGGAGAGACTGACAGAGACACACACACACATACAGAGACAGACATACAGAGATAGAGAGACACATACAGAAACAGACACACAGAGAGAGACATACAGAGACAGAGGAGAGAGAGGTGTCCTGAAGGCCTAGAGAGAAGACAGTACGGAGGAGAAGGGGACCAATGCTTACAAAGGCTGCAGGTCAAGGAGAATGAGCATTGAGAAAAGGGATTTGGTGATGAAGCATCACTGACCTCTGGAGAGGACATTTGGGTGGGATGGTGAGGTAGGGAGCCAGGCTGCAGAGAGGTAAGAAGCAGGGAGGACATGAGGTGGTCTTTGAAGGATGGGCAAGATTAGGCTCACCTGGGGCCCTGTGAGGTCATCTAAGTGGAGAGGCAGGATCTGAACTCGGGGCCTCTGGAGCCAATCAATATTTTCCTGTCATACCACACTGGGTGGTTCCAGAGTAAAGTTGCGGGTTATTGGGGCTTTGATTTAGAGAAGGCCATTGAGTCCACCCCTCCCCCCATTTTACAGATGAGGAAACTGAAGCAGAGAGAGGGGCAGGGGCTTGCCCAAGAGTACATGGCTGGTAAGAGCAGAGCTGGGCTTGCGGTCCCGTCTCCCAGTCCACAATCACTGCTTTTCCCAGCTGCGTCCTCTGCCAGCAGAACAGACCTGCCCAAGGCCGGGTCAGGGGCTGGGCGTGTGCTGCAGCCTGCTCCCAGGGCCCTGGCTGTCCCACATCCAGCAGGCTCACTCGGGTGTGGGGGTGGGAGAGATAGGCAGCCTGAAAGCCAGCTCCCAGCTGTCAGGTGGGAGGGGGAGCACATGGGAGGGAGTTGGGGAGCCAGGCAGCCAGCCAGGGAAGGAGCGAGCGTGGCTGAGCGGGGCTGTGAGCCTGTCAGAGCTGCCGGCAGGCATGGACACCCTGGTTCTCCAGGACCACCTGGCTGAGCAACTGCTGTCACCTCGGACCCAGGCCCAGAGGAGGCTGCCCAAACTGAAGGTACTCAGTCCTGGCCGTGGGGTCAGTGAGGCCCGCAGGGAGGAGCCTGGCGGTCAGGGCAGAGATGGAGCCGGGCAGCAGTGGGTCTAAATCACCGCCGTGTCCTCCCTGTCTGTCAAGGGACGGGGCTGGAGAGCACAATCTCCGAGGTGCCCCTGCCCCAAGCCTGTAACAGGACACGGGACAGGTCTGGGCAGGGCTGGGCCAGAAGAATATGTGGACGTGTGTAGATGGGAGAGTGGGGGTGTGCATGTGTGCCCATCCCAGCCTCTCTAGGTCTGTGGGAAAGGGACCACATCTGCGTCTCCAAGCCTCATTCATTCTGTGATCGTAGAATGCAGGGCAACATTGAGTGCAAGCCTTTCAGTTTACAGAGTGGGAAACTGAGGCCTGGAAGGGACGTGGGACGATCCTGTGTGTATGCCTGGCTCAGTTTGTGAGTGTGTCCCCTTGGAATCAGAAGACAGGAGTGGGTCCCGGGAGAGAGGACAGAGGCAGGGCAGGCTCGGAGGCCCCGGGAGGCTGGGGGAAGGATGGGGAGCTGTGATCCTCTGCCTCTCTCCCACCCTGGGCTGCTGGGGGCACCCCCTCAGGCCTTGGTTGTCCAGTCCTGCTGCCTCTGGCCCAAGCTGTCCCTGGGAGCTGAGGCCTGGATCCTGAGGTGGAGGGGGCTATGTGTGGGGTTTGCTGAGCAGGGGAGGATGGGCCAGGCCAGGGATGCTTCTGGATGGGTACTGACGGGAGAGGTGAGCCCATCTCTGCCCAGCTATGTGTGGACTTCATGGCCTCCAAGGTCCCTCCCAGCCCTAGTCAATACAATGATGAGTCCCAGTGGAAAGCCGGCTGGATGTGGTGCTGGGGGCCCAGGTTCAGATCCCAGCTCTGGAACTCACTGTGTGACCTCGAGCAAAATTTCACCCCTCTGGGCCTCGGTTTCCTTCTCTGTAAAAGGAGAAGGGAGGGAGATTCCATCTTTATCTAAGGTTTCTTCCAGTCCTCCAATTCATGGTGTTCCCACTCCCAGCAGGGGAGGCTCAGTTTCCTTGGAGGAAGGGAGACTGGAGTCAGATAATGAAGGATATTCGATGCCAGACTGAGGTTTGCATTTTAGTCCCGGGGCAGAGGGAGGCACTGAATGTTTTTGTCTGGGGTCATGGCAGCCTCAAGCCAATGCCTGAGGAAGGCTATTGTAGCAGTTATAAGAAGGATGAAGATGGGCTGGAGGCAGGGAGACTGTAAAGAGGCCTGAGGCTGGGAACAGGACTTCGGCTTCTGAGTGGAGAAGGGCCCGAGGCTTGCTCATTAAATGCAAAACACTTGCTGTGACGTAAGAGCCCGGAGAATGTTAGCTATGGCCGTTGTGGTAGTATGAGTCTTACAGCAACCCCGGGGGTCATGTTGGCTTCATTTTACAGATGAGGAAACTGAGGCTCAGTGAAGCTGTGGCCCTCGTCGTCATGACCTAGGAGGTTCCCTTGAATGTGTGTGTACATGTGCATTCACGTGTACGTGTGCATGCGTATGCGTGTGCACTTGTGCACGTGTGTGTGTGTGTGTGTGTGTGTGTGACAGAGACAGAGATGGAGAGGCTCAGTGTGTGGCTCTGTATGTGTGAGCGGGTGTATGCCCCCTCAGCGGGGGCTCCTGGGTTTCTGTCTGTGCCAGTCTCTATGGGAACAAGGCCACTGAGTGCCAGCCCCAGGGCTTCTGGGCTCCGAGCTCCTGAGGGAATCTGCCTTTGGCTTACCTCTGCTGTCCTCCTTCTGTTGGGAGCTGAGAGAGAAGGGGGTCTAGGGGATTAACCTCTCTTCCCTGGTGGAGTGTTGAGAGCCCCCCCTTAGCCCAGAGCTCGGGGCTCGTAAGCACTTAATAAATGGTTTTGATTAACCGATCGATTGACTGCAGCAGGAGGGTGGGGAGCGGATGCCCTTTCTAACACCCAAGTCTCCTGTCCTCAGCCCGCCATGTGGGACCCTGACTTGTTCCAGCTAATGTCAGCAGACAGCCTAGCGTGTTTGGGGCCCATGAGCTTCTAGTGATGGCAGGGGGGGATTGGGGCAATTCCCGGCCCCCAAAGGCTCCACCCCAACGAGGAAGGAGGTCAGGTGGGCCTTCCCCCCTCCAAATCCCAGGACGTCACAGCAGGCGGGGGCTGCGCTGGGGCCGGCACAGCTGGCCTACTTTCTATATATATTTATCACTCTGCGTCCCAGCTTCTCCCACACAGGGTTGGAGCTGGAGGATGGGACAGAGTGTCTCCTGCCCACCAGAGCCGAGTGGCAGCTGCTCCCCCGAGCTGGGACACTTGGCAGCCAGGGACTTGGGGGTGGAGGTCTGGCCGCTTCTGCTGCTGCTGCTGCTGCTGCTTCTCCCCGCTCTTGCCTTCTAGGGGTGGGCGACCTCCCAGACTCCTCACTCAGCTCAAGGTTGGGCTCATGCTAGGTGGCCATCCCAGCTGGGGTCTCTGGGGTCCGTCTGTACAT